AGCCAACATGTGCAGAGAGGTGCAAAGGTAGAAAGGACCATGGATGCACACACTTACGTTCTCTGTGATACCAGCCCTGGAAATATCAAATAAAGTACAGCTATCTACTGTGGGACCACTGGGGTGGATGGCATGCTTACTCTGTAAACGTGTACTTGAACATGTCCACTTAGCGTATCGCTCCTTTTTAAGATTTATTTTATTTTATGTGTGTGAATGCTCTGCCTGTATGTATGTACACTACTTGCTTCTCGACTGCCTGTAAAGGTCAGAAGAGCATATTTGACCTGCGTCCTTTGGAAGAAAAAGAAGTACTTGTAACTGATGCTCCATCTCTCTAGGCCCAAGCAGGGCCTTTTTAAAAGTAATCTTTCATCTCTAAAATAGCACCAAAATTAAGTTAAGCCTCTTTGCTTTCTTTTCCAATTTCAAGAGGCACCATTTTGTAAGTATCCATCCAGCATTGTCTAAGGCTTTTTCAAACAGCAAAAAGACAAGATTGCAACCGGGAGATTTTACAATGCTTGACCTTATATTCAGGCATCTATAGAGCCTGTGATTGCATGTAGCACTTACACATCATATATGAATGCAACACACACAAACATACATACTCACGTTCATACTAATTATTTGGAAGAAAAAAAACAGCAGAAAGAAGTAGTTTTCAAATAAAATTGGAAAATTTTAAATGCATCACCGGGGCCATTGTTAGAAAGTAATGAAACACTAAGAACAGGAAGGTGTATTGCTCTGGACCAATGTGGGCCTACCCAAGAGAGTGCAGATGAGCACACACAAACTATGTTTTATTTCCTGCCAACTCCAGAAGTCAGTGATCTTATACAGTGCACCACCCGCCCAACCAGACCTGGCAGCCCAGAGTATTAACCCTCCACCCCAGGAAAGCCAGCCTTTACTCACAAACCTATCATGGCCAGAGCAGTTCAGAGCAAACATCTCTTTTTGACCCAAAAATTCTAGACCTTTTATATGATAACCCCAAATAAATAACAAAGAGGGAATAGAAATCTAGTAACTAGTACACACAAAAGAAATAAAAAAGTATGTTCTACTTTGCATGTGATTCTACTTATTTAATCAGTCTTCCATTTTGGTGGTATTTTCTTACCCATAACACTGAAAGACTTCCTAATTAAAGTATGATCAGTGACCATTAAGAAGGACATATAATAGTAACAGAGCACTATCCACTAATTGGTTAATGTTTTATTTTCTTTCAGCAGTAGCCACTATCACAGTGATAAAAAGAACTAATAATACTTCCATGAATACACATTCTTACATGTATGTACACTATCAATACCTTAACGAAAACCTACACTTCAATTTCCATGTGATGCTTAGGAAAGGCTGCATTTCCCGTGATCTTTTAACTAGTTCTTATGACTTTTTATAAACACAAAGCACTACAATATTTACAAATGCCACCAAAAAAATTAAACACTGAATAATTCAGACGTTGCACCTTACAAACACAACCTTAAAAATCTTTCCATGAGAGTCCATCATTAAAGCTAATTCATGTATAAGGTGTACATTTTCAAGAAAAATTCCATACTCCATCTAAAACAGACTAAAAATCCAGAGAACTGCCTCCCAGGCCAACAGGCATCAGTGGATAATGGAACTGCTTGTAATTAATGCTTCAACTAAATCACTGTGAAAACAAGTATTTCTCAGCTCGCTGAGGTACAGACCATCAAACACTTTTAAGGCATTACACTGGAAAGGCTGTGCCAAGGGATAAGATCCTAGAAGAGTACCCAAGCTATGGAGCAAACAGAACAGCAATGATCTTCCTCTACAGGAATTCAAAACATTCTGCTTCCATTATCTTCAACACTGCAAACCACCTACTGACCATAACTGTATACCACCTATTTAAACACATTACCTCTTGATTCTTACCATAGGATCCACTACAAAACCACAAGCTCGTGCTTCAGGGCTTGCTTTAGGAAGTATATCCTCCTGCCCATGCAATAAAGCATCTGTTGGAAAAGCTCACAGACAAACACACTGGGGTGAGGGGGAAAAACCAGCTCTGAGGGTTCCTTTGTGCCTGACAGCCAGTCACCAGAGCACATGAGAACACACTGGCTGGAGGCAAATGGGCTCACCCAGGATCGTCAGCGGTGCCTGGTGAATCCACAAAGGTAGGCCCTGCAGCACACTGCGCTGCTCACGAGCTTCTTGGCTGTCACACTTGTGACAAATATATCAAGCTACTCACAAATGCCACATAGCCAGAACAGGCTCAGAGCCTGACACCCCCACCTGACAGGAGGATCACAGAAAAGTCCTCCAGGGCCCTTCTGTGCTGGCTATAGAAGGCCCACTTCTATAGCTCCCCAGAAAAGGGGCACACACCACCCTACCTTAAAAAAGGCTGCAACTCAAAATCATAAGGTGTTTCAGGCTGCATGCAAGAAACTGTAGGTTTATGCTTCTGCTTGGCTGGGAAAGCTGAGGAGTCTGAGGTCACAGATCTTATCAAAGATGTGGTTTGTGTACGTGTGTGTGTGTGTTTGATGGTTTAACTAGCTGAGCTGTAATGATCACCTAAGTTTGTGTGTGTGTACAGATGTATGTGTGTATCACGGCTTAACTAGCTGTGCTATAACAATCATCTAAGGTTTAACACAAGAAAACTGCAAAGGCTTAGAACAGAGGAAAAAAGCAAGGTCCATGGAAAGCTGTGAGGTGACTAGCAGTGGGTCACATATTGAGATTACTCTTACTGCCCAAGGACTACACACAGTCAGTCTCACCACACGCCACACCTTCCCAATACAAGAAAAAAAATGTGTCTTGCAAAACCTTTTTGATTATTAATATAATGGAATCATATATAACAGTTTTAAATTTAAGTTAAAATAAACCTACTTTGGGGGCACAGAGAATTAAGATGGTAGAGCTCAGACCTGAGGAGAGAGAGCAAAGGGGAGAGGACAGAAGGCCTGTAGAGAAAAGAGAAACTGAGAGTGGGGACATCTCTGTGACAAGCTGAAGACTAGCGTCACAGTAGGTTCCTAGGAGGATATAAGGGAGATTCAAGCAGCGACTCCTTAGCAGAGATCATAGAGACTGAAGAGGACATTCTCTAACTAGTCTAGTCTTCTAGTAAATGGCGGGGAACACCAACCTACTCACAAAAACTTCAACCCAAAATTTGCCATGCCTATGAGATATGCAGGGATAAAGATAGAGCAGATAGACCAGAGATTGAAGGAATGCCCAACAGACACCTGGCCCAACCAAAGACTCACCCTATCAGAAAGTACCAACGCCTGACATTATGAATGATACTCTGCTAAGCTTGCAGACAGGAGCCTGTCAGAGTTGTCCTCTGAGAGGCTCTACCCAGCAGTACCTCAAAACAGATGCTGAGACTCAGAGCCAAACATTGGTCCATGCATAGGGAGCCTTGGGTAATAGTGGAAGGAAAGAGAAAAGGAGCTGGAAGTGACAGGAACTCCATAAGAAAAACAACAGAGCCAACTAACCAGGACCTAGAGGGGTTTGCTGGGACTGAAACATCATGCATGAACTGGACCTAGGACTCCTACAAGGATGTATCAGATAAGCAGCTTAGGCCTCATGTGGGTCCTCTAGTACGGGAAGTGAGGATTGTATCAGACACGGACTCACTTGCTACCTTTTAGATCACTTAGCCCTGATGGAACCGCCTTGCCAGCCCACAGGGGAAGACAACAGTCCTGATGCAACTTGAAGAGCTGGCGTTGATGGGAAAGGGAGCTCCCCTTTTCTGAAGAAAAGGAGAGGGGGAAGGAAAGAGGGAGAGAGGTGAGACTGGGAGGGGAGAAGGGAAGGGGCTACAAGAATATAAAGTGAATAAAATGAATAAATTGGAAAAAAAGATTCTGGAACTGAAAGCCTATACTATTTTGGGGTATAAAAAAAATCAAATTACAATAAAAATTAAAATAAAGCTGCTTTTTAACTTTTAAAAGCAAAGCTGTCCTGAACCTATGAGACCTTGCTGTTCTAACAGTTGTAGATTTAAAAATAGATACAAAAGGCCAGCCATGGTGGTACATATCTATAATCCCAGCAGTCTGAGGCAGAGGCAGGCGGATCCCTGTGAGTTCGAAACCAGACTAGTCTACAAAGCAAATCCAGGACAGCCAGGACCACACGGAGAAACCCTGGCTTGGAGGAAAAAATAGTGTACAAAAGAAAAACCTTCTAATTCACAAAACACCACACCAGGAAGAACACTCACAAGGATTTTGCCATGTGATAATTAATCCACAAATACTGCCGATCCCTTCCTCCTGGCAAGGCTCAAGAGCAAGACCTTCCAAGGACCAAACTGATCCCAAGAATCCTCAGTGAGTCACTTAATGAAGATGAGCAATACTTTAAATAACAGCAAGAACAAGATCCAGGAGCCAAATGCTTAAACTCAGCTTATCCTACAGTCAAGGGACAAGGCACTGCTAAAGGCAGGGCAAAGCAACCATTATCACATATTGCATGAAAGGCAGGGTGAGTAGATAAATATTAAAAGAGTGA